GCTGAATAAATAAGCTTTCCATTGATGTATGGTTTGTTAGGATTGGACAATATTTGGCCAAGATACAACTATTTAAAAATCCGGAATCCAGACCTGCCAACCTTTGAAAACATTTTTGAGTACCATCAGTGTGACCGGGGGGTGGGGTATTAATCATTTGAAACTAGCAAACTAGCAGCTCCAGTAGTAAGATTAAAGGATTTATCTTGAACTCTGTCACGGAAATTATGTATAAACCCTAATCAAACAATTTAATAATCAATTTACAATGAATTTATACCCGTGTTGTACATTATGCTGTACACCATGCACGAGCGCTTTGTAAAAATGAACGGATTGATTGTTCAGCTGCGGGCGCCATCTTCTGGCGAGATGCGGGAATTCATTCGGCGCGTGACTCTCACGGTGCATTATGGGCATTCTCTAGCCGTTGAGCATGCACCAGTTGTACACTCGTTTTTGCAGTGCATTGTGGGATTGAATGAGTGCACTCGAGAACGTCCACTATGGTTTCGGACACCACTAAAAATGGCTGTTCCCACAAATAGTGCCCTATTTAAGGGTATAGGGGGCGATTTCGGACACAGCCCAAAAAATACCATACACGTGTTTCCTTATCTCAGCGCGGAAAACGCTCTGATTGGTTGAACTCCTCATCTTTTTCTGTTGCTTGTTTACTGCGCGTGGACAGGTCACCAGGTTTTTGCGTAGTTTAGAGTGACAAATCGTACCAGCATACTTTACGGTCAAAATGCGTACCCGCTACGCAAAATGCGTACAGGTTGGCAGGTCTGGGAATCCGAGGGTGAATCAAAATATTGAGAAAATCGCCTTTAAAATTGTCCAAATGAAGTTCTTAGCAATGCATATTACTAATCAAATTTTCAGTTTTAATATATTTACGGTAGGAAATTTACCAAATATCTTCATGGAACATGATCTTTACTTAAAATATCCTAATCCTAAAGAAAAATAAATCATTTTGACCCATACAATGTATTTTTGGCTATTGCTACAAATATACCCCAGGGACCTAAGACTGGTTTTGTGGTCCAGGGTCACATTTATGTACTTCTTCTGACATCCCATCCAATGTACAAAGAAAATTCCGATACAAGTACAGTACATTAAAGGACTGTACAGCATGTTCAACTTTTGGTAGACAAAAATTCCATAAAACAGTTCTGAAAGTTGTGAATTGTGAAAATTATGTGATCAAGGATGTTTAGCGAATGCCAATGTAAAGACTGTAAGTCTATCCCTCACAGCCTTGCTTTCATCCCTGTTAAATTCAGTATGGCGTCTAACCTGACTAAAGTCTGTAGACTCTGACTCACCATAAATAATAATTTCCGAGATCCCAATCTCACCCAAATCAGTATATGAAATTTCAAATGTGTAATTAGTAACTGTTACTCAAACATTGTTTAGAAAATGAACCCTCTCAGAATAATTTAATTATGCAAATTATTTCAATGAAAGCAGACCACAATCTAAAAAAAAATAATTATTTTGTTTTCTTACCAGATATGCCATGGTTTGTCCTTAATATTTTCCAGACACAAGAGCTGGGAGACCTTTACTGCTGACAATGCATCCTTGAGGTCCATCTTGTTAGCAAAAAAGAGTATAGGTATCCTTCTGTGCTTAATATCTAAGCATGCCCAGAAAAAAACAAACAAACAAAAAAAAAAACACACACACATGAGCATTAGGGTGCTTTTAAAGAAGTAATTCACCCATAAATGAAGATTTGCTGAAAATGCACTCCTCCTCAGGCCATCCAAGATGCAGATGAGTTTGTTTCTTACAAACATGCAACTTTTCGCTTCACAACACGTTAAGTGATGGACTGGAGTCATGGAGTACTTGTGGATTTTTGTGATGTTTTTATCAGCTGTTTGGACTCTCATTCTGGCGGCACCCATTCAGTGCAAAGGATCCAGTGGTGAGAAAGAGATGTAATGCTAAATTTCTCCAAATCCATTCTCTTGAAAAAAACAAACAAACTCATCAACATCCTGGAAGGCCTGCGGGTGAGTACATTTTCAGCTAATTTTCATTTTTGGGTGAACTGTTCCTTTAATTCAGATCTGAAAATGATGACTAAAACAGAGATTAATGAAAAATGTACCAGGGTGATTCAAAAGGGTATCCAATTCTTCTTTTGCCACAACCATTCTTAGTTTATCACCACTGTCAATCACAAATATGATGGCCTGACCCTCCCTGAAAACAAGATAACATCGATAAACACAAAAAACACAGATCGATTCCAAAATGGCCATTGGCACTTCATTAGCTCAGTAAACATAATCAGATAAGCTTGAATCAGAGAAACCCACTTGTAATAGTGCTCCCACAGATTTCTGTATCTTCCCTGCCCTGACATGTCAAACACTGTGAAAGAAAGACTTTGGGGAAAACAGATATTGTGTTAGTAATATTTTGAAAAAGGACAAATGGTTTTCAGACACTAACAATTAAATCACAATATCTATAGTTAACGCTTTCAAATGTTCACCTTGAGGTCTTAAACTTTTCTATGCTGAAACCTATAGTTGGTACAATGTCTTGAGCCTGAGCCTGCAATGAAAAAAGGCAATATCTCAACTGTGAGCTCACATACAAAACAGAGATCAAAAAAGAGAAAGGAATATACAAAACCAAACTGGTGAAAACCAAGTTATTTCATATCGGGTCCACAGACAGGAGTGTGACATACATTGGATGGCTTTAGCTGGTTGATGATGGTAGTTTTTCCACTGTTGTCCAGACCTAAACACAACACGTTCACTTCCTTCTTCTTCAGGCCCAGCCACCCTGCAAGCTTGTCAAAAAGCCCCATTTGCCTATTTGGATGGGACGCTTCTGGAGAGAGATCACATCAAAGACAAGCTCCATTAGATTATTCATTAGATGCATCCAGAGGCTGACAAACACTTGGGACAACAGAAACATCTCCTTTTTTCTTCTCAGTCTCCATAAGGCACCAACTGCTGAGGGGAGCAGATCTCAGTTGTTTAAAAAATAAATACACAAAGAAATAAAACACTAATATCTACTGCTACTACTGCTAATGTTTAGTTTAATTTTAATATGAATTCCAGCTAATAGTGACACTTAAAGTTTGTAAGATTTTTTGAATGTTTTTGAAAAGAGTTGGGAGTCCATCATGCTGTCAAGTCTCTTATGTTCAACAAGACTGCATTTATTCAGAAAAACAGTATATTGTGAAATATATTTATTACAATTTAAATTATTTTATAATTTATTTTCAATATAATGCATTCCTGTGATGACAAAAGCTGAATTTTCAGCAGCCATTACTCCAGTCTTCAGTATCAGACGATCCTTCAGAAATAATTTTAATATGCTAATTTGATACTCAACAAACATTTCCTATTATTATCAATGTTGAAAACAGTTGTGCTGCTTAATATTTCTAGGTCAACTGTAAATAGAAAATTCAAAAGATCACATCATTTGTTTGAAATATACATTTTCACATAATAAAGAGTTTAACTTTACAATAGATTATTTATTTACAATAGTATTTACTGTCACTTTTTAATCAATTTAATGCACCCTTGATGAATACACATATGCAGGGGACTGCTTACACCAATGTTGTTATTGTAATTTATTATTGTTGTATGTATTTATTTTATTTAAATGTATTATTTGTATTTGTGTATTATTTTAATTTAGAATTCATATATTTGATGTTCATAATTTTTTTGCCCCATATACACCGATCATGAATAACATTATGACCACCTTCCTAATATTGTGTTGATACCTCTTTTGCTGCCAAAACAGCCCTGCTTCTAAAAACACATCAACTTTGAGGACAAAATGTTCACTTGCTGCCTAATTTATCCCACCCACTAACGTGTGCCTCGATGAAGAGATAATCAGTGTTATTCACTTCACCTGTCAGTGGTCATAATTTTATGCCTGACCGGTGTATAGTATAGCCCAGGGCTGTCCAAACTCAGTCCTGGAGGGTCCTGCAGAGTTTAGCTCCAACTTGCCTCAACACACCTGGGGCCAGTTGCATACAAGGTTTAGACTAGTCTTACAAGTTAGTCATAATTTTTTTTCTTTAATACTGGTCAGTATTTTTTTAATTCAGTTGCATAAAAGCATACATTAGTCTAACTTGAATCCCAAAATAAGACTGATTACCCCTTGGCTATAACAGCTAGTTGGTCAAACTCATACTTAAGACATTGTCTTAACATAGAGGTTAAGTTTATGCAACTGCCCCCTGACTGGAAGTTTCTATGCCTAGTAAGAGCTTGATTAGCTGGTTCAGGTGTGTTTAATTAGGGTCGGAGCTAAACTCTGCAGGACACAGGCCCTCCAGGACCGAGTTTGGACAGCCCTGGTATAGCCCTTCAATTGTAAACAGTTTAACGACAACGCTAATTCATTGTTTTAATAATAAAGGATGTTATAATTTGAAATCTTTTAATATGTGATGGAGATCGGCATCGTTGGCTATCCGCCAGTGTTGCCAATTTAGCGAGAGGGTGCTCGCTGCAGAGCCAAATGGGAGGAGCTGGAGCTCTAGCTCCCCCTCGCTGGATGTAATGGGTGGAGCTAGACACCCAACCACTCCCTAACCCTACCCCTTACCCTATCGCTAAACATAACTCCACCCATTAGTTCACACAGAGGTGGAGCTGGACATCCAGAGAGGGGGAGCTGGAGGTCATTTGGCTCTGCAGTGAGCAGTACTTGAATTTAGCTACTTTGTAGCTAGATTTAGCGACTTCCCCGCCCCTTTTGAGACTTTTTTCAAAAGTTTAGGGACAAATATAGCAACTGCTTGGACAAACCTTATCTAAGTTCTCATCTTGCCCACTGATCTACGTTCATCTTTATATAGATCAGTGAATTTGCCATTGTGATGTCATCTAGTGACATTTAGCTACCAGTTTTAGCTACTTTCAATTGAAAGCAGTTGGCAACACTGCTATCCGCGCCTGGATTGATAAAAAAATCGGCTTGTTTGCTTTTTTAATAATCCGATTTAAGTGAATTAACTTGAGCTGCGAGCGGACACACAATCTTGCAACATGCACCAAAGGCTGTAGTGGTAACGTTACATGAACCTAATTATCCTGAATCTGTAAACTCGCGGTATTTGTATGCCAGTATCTTGTGTTTAAAGAAAGCACCCACCTGTTGTGTATAGGGATATACTAAGAGGACATTTCAGTTGCATAATATAGCTTTAGACGACTATCCATCCATCTATCCATCCAATGACAACAGAGATAGTGGCATTATAACGCGTTTAACCGTTACCTCTCTCTCTCTCACAGTGTCGAAGGTCAGAAACACCTGAACGCGTAAAAGCGTAATCTATGAGAACAGCCTGTAATCCTCTGAGCTCATTAGCACACGGGCTAGCGCTTCACATGTGCGAGTAACTTACGCTAAAATAACCAAAACTCCGTTTTCGGAGTTTGTTCCATTAAACACTCATATACGTTCAGATAAAGATAACACACGGTTGACATTTTCTGTTAATCTAAGGTTATTGTTTCCATATTCGCTGCAGTCGGCTAGCTGGCTGGCTAACCTGCTCTGACCGTCTACTGTAACGTTACATGGAAAGATCTTTCTTACTTTTCTCCTCCGGCTCTGCTCAAGTTGCATGTTGTCTGCTTCTTGGTTAAAATGTGATTTTGAATTCATTCATATGATTGATGGTATGTCCAGTACAGATGGAGAGACGTAAACACACTTACCTGGCGTCCTGGAAACGATTTAAAACTCTCCCACTCACACACCGCTGCTAGGAGACCGATGACGCCTTTTCTCTTCTTCTTCTTCTTCTTCTTATATTTTTACGGCGGTTGGCATCCAGCGTATTGGTGCATTACCGCCACCTTCTGCTCCGGAGTGTGGATCAGAAAATAGGTTTACAGACTAAATCACCCATTCTCCCACCTTTATCCCGACACATACATACCTACACACGCACACCTTATCCCTGCCCTGCTTTATAATAACATTAATAACAACAACAACAACAATAATAATAATACTTTACCTTCCTCACTATTCCTTTAACTCTTCATATCCTATAAAAAACCCCAGTTACTCTTAAAAAGTTTAAAAGAATTCTGGTCTGTGCCCTATGCTCTGTGCTCAATAATCCCTCCTTTCCCCTCCACTCCCTTCGTACACATCTTCATTATAATCCATTTCCCCCCACCTACCTACCTCCAATCCTTTCACGGAGCAGTCGTGCTCAACCGCCTGTGCTTTCCGATAAATATGATGATCCGTTTCCAAAAATTTCCTGTTAAATTCCTAAACGAGCTCCGTCGTTCGATCTACGTAACTAGTGTCAGCCAGACTGCTATCCACCCTCTCGACGCCTTTTCTCTCGACTCACATGTTTACTTAATAGCGCCATCATATGGACAAGAACTGTAGCTTTGCGTAAAAAAAAAATCATGATTTCCAGAAATCGTACATTAGTGTCATGATTTGTGAAGCATGTGGATTTTACACGCAACTTTAAAAATTATAGGTATTTCTTCACCTTTCGGCATTTTTATGTCACAAGGGATGATTAAAAAAAAAAAAAAAAATAGTCACATCACAAATTAAAATTGGGAATGTTTTGCTAGTTTTTATATTTTTAAAATGCCTTTATTATTTTTTGTTTTACCTTTGTCCAATACCCAGACATTGATGTTGTGAATTATTAAAGTCATCTAAACATACACAAATTCACTGTTTATTGTGTGAACATGTTTTATTATTATTATTTGCCTTATTTCCCTTCATCCGGCAGTGTCAGTGAAAATAGTATTTAATTGTGTGTATTTAGTATACAACAAAATAATAACTGTGAAATTAGCCTTAGCAAAACAACGAGCCTAAGCAAATTAAATGGAAGTGAAATTCATGATGCTGTTCATGACTTGAAGACAAAAGTGACCATTCTTCTGTGATACTGTACGTGTATATCCATTGCTGGACAAACTAAATATATTGATGATTATAAAAGTCCACAGGACCAAAAGTGCCAATAATTTAAGAAACCCTTATTATTAAAATGTCAATTTTTGTAATTAAATTAATTAATAAAGGGGATCAGGAACAATTGTAACACAGGTTAACTGAAGCAATGCTTGTTGCACAACATTTTTTCATGAATGTATACCCAACTTTGTTCTCTGTGGCAGACCAAAGCATCCCACATAATTAATTTGATCCAATTTTTGCATTCCCTTGCATAAAATCCATTATTGTGGCACTTTACACCATGGTTCCCAACCCTGGTCCTGGAGGCACCCCAACACTGCATGTTTTGCATGTCTCCTTTCTCTGACATCAATTTCAGGTCTTGAAGTCTCTACTAATGAGCTGTTTGATTAAGGAGGCATGCAAAACGTGCAGTGTCGGGGTGCCTCCAGGACCAGGGATGGGAACCACTGCAACACCGTACTGTACTGCATCTTGGGTGGCCTGAGGGTTCTTTTTTTTTTTTGGAGCGAACTATTCCTTTAAAGGGTTATTTCACGTTAGTTACGTTTTAAATATGGATATTTATCTTACAAAAACGCATGGATTCGCTACAAGAGGCCTTTATTCACCCCCCGGAACCGTGTGAGGGACGTTTTATTATGGATGCACACACTGTATTTCACGTCTTCTGAACTGTTGACAACCAACACCCGCTTACCACCATTGAAAGGCTTGGAGGGGCCAGGACAATTTTTAATATAACTCCGATTGGATTCGTCTGACAGAAGAAAGTCACATACACCTAGGATGCTTCGAGGGTGAGTAAAACACAGGCTAATTTTCATTTTTGGGTGAACTAACCCTTTAAGACCTGCAAATGACCTAAGTATCCTTACAACTAACTTGCCTGTAGCTTCTTCATGATTTCGTAGTGTAATATTTTAGAAAGCAAAAATGCAGTCCATATAATAATAAATATTTTTTTTTTTATCGTGATAGACTCACAAAAAACACAAAAATATCTGTTATCATTTATTTTTACAAACATTCAACCTATATCACCTTTATCTCTCTGTACTCTTTATAAATTATAAAAAATAATGTACAATTATTTTACTATGAACAATACATTATGACCTGATTACCCAGAGTTTTCCCTTGCCCTGCTTGAAGTAAGCACTCGATTCTCTTGCACTTTTGACATTTGCACATTGCAACTTGAAGTTTGTCAAGTGGTCTCAGTGTCCCGAACATGTGTTCAGGTACAGAGAGCCAATCAAAGGATGGGGGCCTATATCAGCTAATGAACATGGTACTGGTATTGTGCGTTTGTATGTCTGGTGGAAGCGAAAGAGACTGCAAATGCATATGTTACCATTAATGTTATGTGTGTATGTAGGCCTGCTGTGTTGGGAAAAATAATTGCCAACATGCAGAGTGCTATACTGTCATGTTCTCTATATGAGAACATTTTACTGCAACCTGTTACCTCAATGGTTCTCCAATGACGATATGACAATAGTTTCATAGTCGCAAGGCAAACTGATAAAATATCAGAGGTGTCTATAGAATCTGTACACCATAGTAGACTGAACAAATGTGTGCAGTTCTCAAATCTCCGTCTGAGTGGATTTGTTTAAGTTTGTTCAATTTGACTGTGGTGCACAGGAGTAAGAAAATGGCTTACAGTCTTTTGAAAGGTCATACTTTTACCACCTCGCTGACAGCCTGAGGAAGTCAATGGTTTTGTGTGGCATTTTTTCAACAGAGCAAGATAAAGCTCTCCACTTCCTACCTTGACTCTTTTCTTGGTTTTCTAAAGACTGCACATATTGCTTAGAAAAAGAACTAAACAAAATGCAACCAAAAAGAAACAAAGTCACACATACATATAAATATCAGGATAAATGTCAGATGTGATAAACAATGTATAATAGCCATTTAAAGCTGAAGACATTCAACAGATCCATAGTCTCTCATTTTAGAGGCTCGATGAATAAATCAGGAAAATCTCTTAAAGACACATAATTTAATACATTAAAATAGCAAATATGCTATTCAAAGTTCTCAGGTTTGGAGTCCAGTCAATCACAGAACTTGCAGGATGATTGACAGATGACATCTTCATAACAACAGAATGGTGCCATTGTTCCGTTGTTTACTGTGGGTTCTCCGGGTAAATGGTCCAATTTTCCTGTTACACACAGTTCATCAAGACAAACAATTCATGACATTTAGCATGTTTCTTCATGGTCTTTGAGACTGCTTTCTTATGCATGTGTTTCAACTGGAAGTCTTCACTGGATTATGATAGAAACAGAGGCTGTGGAGCACTTCTCATTGACAGACAGTCAGTCCAGACCTGAAGGGTGTGTGCGTGTGTTTTGGGGGGTCTAGCGATGCTGGGAAAAGCATTTGTATGAAGAGTATGTGTATGTGTATGTGTATATGTGGATTTTCATACATGGAAGCCACTCTGTTGAACGTGGAGGAACTGCAGTCGTAGTGCTTGTATGCTGCTCACTATCCTCCTCTGGTGGCCAATCAGAGACACTCCGATTCTTCTTACATCACTGTTGAGAAAACAACAGCATGAGACTTCTGAAACTGAGGTAATTAATTGGCAAGGTCATGATGAGTATAAAGTGAATATGAATAGAATAGAATTACAGGATAAGAGTAATTTACTGCGTGAAAAACCAACAAAGGGTTATTTATTTATTTATTTTTAAATGTATTTATTTTTTAACGGGGTTAAAGATGAACTTAAACTGAAATCATGGGCAGCGACACAAAGTTGGTTCTGTGCTAATTTGATCTAATATTTCTGAAAGCCTGTTTCCACAATTGAAAAAAGAAGACTTTTTATCTTACAATTCTGACTTTCTTAATGAAGAATTGCGTGATATAAACTTGCAATTCTAACTTTTTTTCCTCTCAGAATTGCGTAATGTGAGGAAAAAAAGTTTGAATTGCCTTTTATATAAAGGCCAAAAGCACAATAACTGACATGATAATAAATAGCTAGCTGAATTTTCCATTTGTTGACATGACATGGTTAGGTTCAGATGGTCAATATAATTTATTAGGTTGGGTGTAAACCTTAGACATAACCACCAAAAATATGACATTAATCATATGCTATAATAACATAACATATTTGTGACCCTGGACCACAAAACCAGTCTTAAGTCGCTTGGGTATATTTGTAGCAATAGCCAAAAATACATTGTATGGGTCAAAATAATATATTTATTTTTATGCCAAAAATCATTGGGATGTTAAGTAAAGATTATGTTCCATGAACGTATTTAGTAAATTTCCTACCATAAATATATTAAAACTGAATTTTTGATTAGTAATATGCATCGCTAAGAACTTCACTTGGACAACTTTAAAGGCGATTTTTTCAATATTTAGATTTTTTTGCACCCTCAAATTCCAGATATTCAAATAGTTGTATCTCGACCAAATATTGTCCAATCCTAACAAACCATACATCAATGGAAAGCTTATCTATTCAGCTTTCAGATGATGTATAAATTAGAATGTAGAAAAATTGACACTTAAGACTGGTTTTGTGGTCCTGGGCCACATTTATCTTTTATTATACTGAGTGTTCGGAGTGTAGGGTAAAAGGCCTCTAATTAATTTTATATGATTTTTGAACAAAACAATTTTTTATGATTTATTTTCCTACAAAATGTGTTTCTCCATCTATGTTCAATAATTTTTTATATATTTTTTGCAATCATACACCATGATGTGAATAGCATTGAAATAAACCCACTAAAGAGAGTGATCATGATCATTTTTGCATGCAAAACAACACCTAGAACCTAAACGGAGCGTAAAAAAAAAGCAGTGAGCAGAACTTCATGCAGTAGTTTTGACTCCACTTACTCAATACTCATGGTGGATATGGAATCCAGGGTTGTGTACCCTGCTGCTATGAAGTTGGTCTTGTATTGACTCATTTTGATCGAATCCAACCAATCACCGATAGATATGAAGAGAGGGTAGTCTGGCATATCCTCAGGGGATTCTGGGAAGCTGTTTAAACACAACACATACTGTATGTGAAACAACAACAGTTTGGCACACGTTTCCCACAAGGCAAGAGCCAACAGTTCAGTGTAATCAGAGTTATCTGTCAGTAAACACTAACAATTTCAGTTTAAAATGATAATTTCAACATTGGCACTCATTTTGATTCTAGTAAGCAATTAAGTAAGCAATTAATATGTTGATTTTAAAATGTTGTTGTGATCATTCTACCTATTTACATCTTCCACCAGTGTGAGCAGGCTGCTGGGATTGCGGATCAGCTTATCTAGGAAGCTGACAATGTCATTAAACTGTGGTCGGCGACTGCGTTCCTTCTGCCAGCAGAGAAGCATGAGCTGGTGCAGGGCCACAGGGCAGCCCATAGGCGCAGGGAGCCTGTAGCCCTCCTCAATAGACAGAATTACCTGCAGGAAGACACACAGAAATCTATTGAGATCCAAATTCCACAAGACCATTTTACTAATGTTTGCAAATGCAATTTTAGGTGTGCCATCAGAAAATATAAAATACTTCAGCCATTGCTAATGAAACACTTCAGCCAATGAAAAACTGCAGACAACTAATTAGTGAGGACAGTAATTAATAAACTAAAGGAATAACAAGGACACTTTTATAACAAGGAGTTTGACATGTTATAATTTAACAGAATATGTTCTTGAATTTGAATTAGATTAGGCCACATGCTAAGGGAAATAGATTTTCACATTGGAATTAAAAGTGTAATTTATGGAAGCTTGTTTCTGCCATGGGAAAAAAATTACATTTATATTGAATTTTATATTGTATTTTATCAACTTTTGTGAGATGTAAACTTTTTCTTTCTTTCTTTCTTTCTTTCTTTCTTTCTTTCTTTCAATCAAGAAACAAGCTTCCATAGTTATTTGCCTAATTATAAATTCACAGAAATTCAACAACTCATATATCATTCTGGGACACACACACACACACACACACACATACATACATATATACATACATATGTCATATTTGTAATATAGCATTTGAAGTTTTTTTTTTTAATTTGAAAAATATATTTCTTCAAGGCATGCTGTTTACAACATATATTTTGCCTAAAAATCTGAAATACATTTTGGCCAGAAAAAAAATGCCTTGGAAGACTCGATTGTTCATAATTTAGTAGAATTAGAATAGATCAAGTGACTCACGTCTTGGTTGGACATCTCCCAGTAGGGCCTCTCTCCATATGACATCACCTCCCACATGACAATACCATAGCTCCAAGCATCACTGGCTGAGGAAAACTTTCTGTAGGCAATTGCCTCTGGAGCTGTCCAGCGGATGGGGATTTTACCCCCCTGACAAAACAAAATCTTTTTTTATTATTATAATAGCAAGCAGCATCACTTTGTGTTTCCTAGGCAATCAAAGGAGATGTTGATTGCTTGATATGTAACAATGAGTCATAATCAAGCTTTTCTTAGAATGAATGACACACTCCGACCCTTGTATCAAAAAGTTCAGATGTATTCAGACACATTTAGCATCTTATTATAAATCTAATTACTCAATCACTCCTCAGAGTAAGCCCTTAATCTCGTGTTATACTGTTTAGATAAACTCAGTCCCATTCAGTAACACACAACGAAAAGAGTAGTGCTAAGCTCCAGAGATTCGGGATCAGCTTTGGCTGTCTAAGGAGCACAGACTGTTATTAACTCTGAACAGCCCTGAATTTAAATGAACCAATATAGAAGTGGGTGTATGTGGCTTACTGTGGTGGTGTAAGCTGCCTCCGGGTCGTCCTCCAGCACCCTGGACAGACCGAAGTCCGACACCTTACATACCAGGTTGTCATCCACTAGAATATTTCGGGCTGCCAGGTCCCGGTGGACATAGCCGATGTCGGACAGGTACATCATACCTGAGGCAATGCCACGCAGCATACCAACCAGCTGGATCACGGTGAAGTGTCCGTCATGCTTCTACAAAAGAAGAGAGAAGAGAAGAGGAGGAGTGGCAAGAAGAAGATGGAAAAGAAGAGATGGAGAGGTTTATCACAATGAACAATAAAAATATTCACCTTTAAACCAGACCTGACAGCATCAACAAAAAAGAACATTAAAGCTTGTGTTTGTATAGTAGTTGATGAATACTTTATAGTAGGTGCTATGGAGGTTTTATTTTTTTCACCTTTTTAATCACCTTTTATCCTTGAGTAGTTCATTTTAAATCAATGAAATTACAATTATTCTCAATGAAATTCAGATCATGACTGTGTGTAACCAAGAATTAATGATTGATTGAATGAATGAATGAGTAAACAAACAAACAATTTAATTAAATAATTTCTGGTTCCTTTTTTTTTGATGTACAGTTCTTTTTATGGTTCTTGAAGGTGCTCTTGTGGTGAAATGTGGATGAAACAACATAATTAAATATTTTCATCTTTTTCCTGCACTACTATTCAACAGTACACTACATTGTTACTGAATCTACAACATACAGTAACCAATGCAGTCCAGTTCCTGAACAAATGACTTGTATTAGCCGGTTTCTTTTAGTAAATCTAAAACAGAACAGTTTAGTCAACAAATGAGTTTGAGTCCAACGACTTTGAACACTATTCAAAGACCTCTTGAATTTTCCAGTTTGTTATTTACTGGATAAGGATTTTTAAAAATATTTACTCACCATTTCTACTGGATAAAATATTTTAGAGCTTGGCGTAATTAGCCTGGCAAACAAACATGCATGTTCATTATAAAAATGCTCATGGAGTTATAAGATGTTACCCATTTAAATGACATTTCCAGCTGGGAAACCTGGTTCTTTAAAGAAAGAAGGGGAGAAATAAAATAAGAAGTATCTTGATTTTAGTCTTTTTGGATTATTTTATTGCTTGTTTTGTTTGCTGCGGCCCCCAAATGGCCCCCTGATTGAGAACCATTAGACAGTTTTAGACTGTCAGACCGCAGGACGTCAACTTTCCAAAAAGCATTTCATATCAACTATCGATCTGTTGGCAAATTACAAAATGCTCTTTCTAGACAGGTGCTGTTTATGAGGAATGCCAGGTGTGGTGTGCCATATTAATGATGAATTGAGTTCTTGTACCCTCAGAAAAGAGTCCAAGGAGCCATTCTCCATGTATTCCACCACTATCATCACAGGCCGACCTACAAAGAGGAAAACAGGACACCTGTAAGTAATGGACTAAGTTATATAGAAAGAAACAGAGGGAAATGGGACAGACATTGCCACATTACTCATCTCTGGCTTTGTATGACTACAAATCAAACATAAAAGTTACATTACATTAACATCTTTTTCTTTGTAGTGCGTCTGTTATTTTATCTTAACTACTCCAAACAGCCTGAAATATTAGTTAATCTCTAGTAGCATGGTATTGACTGGTAGAATAGATGAAAGATAACACCAGAATCACGCACTGACACAGGTTTTTTTTTTTTTTTTTTTGAGATTGAAGACAGTTTGATTTGTAGCGTGAAATCAGTGATTGTCTGTGAGTGTATCAAATTTGGCAGAGAAACGTGTTTGTTTCTTACAGAAAGAAAGCAGCTTTTGGCTGATAAAGTTATTATGTAACAGTTTCATCCAAACAATTTGTATGCTCCATGAACAATCAAAATTTCACAAATTTCTTATCTGTTTTATTTATTTTTTTGTCTGCCATGCTATTCAGACAGAGTGATTTTGCTGAAGTTGCATTAAACTCATTACTGAGGGGCATTACACTACTATTCAAAGGTTTGGACTAAGAATTTTTCTTTTTGAAAGAACTTTTATTCAGCAAGGATGCATTAAATTTATCAAAAGTGACAGTAAGGACATTTATAATGTCACTATATATATATATATATATTCAAATAAATGCTGTTCTTTTGAACTTTCTATTCATCAAAGAATCCTGAAAAAAATGCATCACAGTTTCCACAAAACTATGAAGCAGCACAGCTGTTCTCAACAATGACAATAATAAGAAAAGTTTTACAGTGTTTTATTGTATTTTGATCAAAGAAATGCAGCCTTGGTGAGCATAAGAGGCTTCTTTCAAAATAGCTGTTTGAAACTTCAGAATGCAAAAGAAGGCAAAAAGTTTCTTACTCTTTGTAACCACACCCTCCAGTCTGATGATGTTAGGATTATCAAACTGTCCCATGATGCTCGTCTCTCGTAGGAAGTCCCGTCTCTGACGTTCAGTGTATCCCCCCTTCAGAGTCTTTATAGCCACAGGAATTTCCTTCTTTCCCGGAATACGGAGCCAGCCACTGCACACCTCCCCAAACTCGCCTGCAGAATACATTTATTCACTGTCATAGCATTTAGGGTTACTGCTTGCACTTGTATACTGTATACTAAACACTAGGTGGCAGTCAAAATATATCAAAGACACAAGTTGACAAATCTCTTTACAAGGATTCTCCTTGTGGAAATTATTTCTCATTGAATTATTTCCTATTTATCTCACTGAAGACTAGATTCTAATCATTTTGTCTTCTGAGAATAACAAAGTGATTTTTCAGAGAGGCATTTAAGAGCTTAACTGTGAAAATGCTCTGAAATATATTTTAATTAGATACATAAAAGAAAACAAAGCCTAGATGTGGATACTAATGGACAGAGCGAAAGATAAATGAGCAAATCTAAAGAAGTTTTTTTTTTTTTTTTTAAGAAATGTATCTTCTAACCAGTTTATTTTTAATTCATGACACACTTTCATTTTATATCTTGCTGAAGAAATAGCAGGAGTAGATTATGGGCTGCTGAGTATCAGACTGAAGTGAGCTGTAAAAAGAACTCTGACCTGCTCCGATGACTCTTTCAATTAGGATACGAGATGGATCGATTTCCTTGGCAAACTCATGAACGGCCTGTGAGGGGTCCTCGTAAGTGTCCGGGTCAATGTAAGTCTTTAATCCTGGGAATGGCACTATAAAAACATGTCAAAGGTTGAAATCTGTTTTTTTTCCCTGAATAAGTTTAAAATATAATTATACAATATGTGCGTATGTAAGCGAGTGCGTAATTAAGGTCTCATACCATGTCCATTTTGATACTGTGTTCTTTTTTTGTCTTCTGACTTTATCTTAGATTTTATGTACCACTGATACCTGTTCAAACAAAGAAAAATTTAATTGATCAATGGTTATGTTGATGTACTATACATATATAACAAATTTAGAGACTTCAGCACTGTCCGTGGTTCTGAAGCCAGTGTCCCTGTCCGTGGTGCTGAATAGACAAGTCATGATCGGCAACGAGAAAGACTCAAGACATATGGCTGAACAGCTACTCAAATGTTGAAATTAAAATAATGCTTCTCCAGGGAGAACATCTCAAGAGCGTTCATTTGTGATTTAATTTCTTTTGTCGATAAATGAAGACACTGATTCTGTCTGTCATCACGAGCTCTTGATTTATTTGAGAGCTGCTCGCAACAGCCTCCCTGCAAATCTGCACAAGCAGCTGAACACGGTGCCATCAGCCCCTGAAGTTGTGCTAGGATGTGATGGCACAGGGCTGGCTGAGTGAGGTTTCACACAGTGCATTGCACATGCTGATATTGCGAATCACAGGACTGTGTGGCATGTTTAAGCTTGCTGTCAGTCTCACAGCAGGCCATTTCATGGCAGCAGACACAGCCGCTGCCGGGAGGCTGCAGCATTCCGACTAATTAGGCAGCGACATGGCTCAGCCAATCGGAAAATAGGAAGGTGCTCCATGGCCAACAGGCCTATTAGGAGATGGCTGGATAAGCAAGGAGCTAAATTAAGGGTAAATGAGTGAATGAAAGTAAAGACATATCCATGACATCCACAGACAGACCGATAGACAGACAGACAGACAGACCGATAGACAGACAGACAGACAGACAGACATATAGAAAGATAGATAGATAGATAGATAGATAGATAGATAGATAGATAGCAAACGCATATAAACACAACATCTGTTCATCTATCCTGGAGCGTATTTACCTGCCCCCTCATTATTTGTGCCCTCATTACCTGCCAGTGATGAGAAGGAAGAGGGTGAGAATGATGAGGAGAGAAAAGCCCCCCACTGTGGCTGTAACAATCACCAACACCTGGCCCTGATCAGCTGCCTCCTCAGAGTCTGACATAGTGAAAGAGTATGTGTGTGTGCATGTGAAAGAGAAAGAGAGAGAAAGAAAGAGAAAGAAGCACAAAACAATGAAGTCACTTTCAAGTTCATGATCGGTTGGTCAGTGGGGCTTCCATCAGACTCAGAAATAGACTTAATGCCAGGAGACAGGTTGGTATGTATTTAAATACATACGGTGCACTAAGATCTGCACAAAAAGCAGAACTGGAATCACACAGCACTTGAGGTCATTCACAATAAACATAAAATGTTCTCTTCTAGCATTTGTTTAAAACTCTACTCACATAGCTGACATGGTATGACCACCGTCTCAGAAAATTGGACATAACTACAGTGTTTTAGGCTAACAGGTATTGAAATTAGTTATTTTTAGTGAAATGCTTACTCTCATCTCCTGTGGCGAACTCAAACTTGGGGCTGTAACTGCTGTAGCCGGCGAGGGTATGGGCGCGCACATGGAACACGTAAACTGTGGAGGGCTTTAGCCCTGTCACTATCACGCTTGGAGACTTTGTACGTGTAGAGGAGTAGCTTAACTGTTCCTGTTCCTAAACATAAAGTTAACAAGATTTTTCATTTAGCATACTGTTCAATATGTAACTGATGTTTTCAGTCTTAAGGCATCTTTACACAGCTGAGTTAAGGCTGCTCTTTGCCTACTCAAAATTCTGATAAATAAAGACATAATGCCACAAAAGTCTGAGTAAATTATGCCAGTTCTGACCCACTTCAAAATACACACACACACACACACACACACACACACACACACACACACACTGTATCAATATTTGCTAAGAAAATCCTATAGCTACAGGTCAAGTTAAAATATTTTTTTTATAATAATTTGTAATATTTATTTATTTATACAGTTACAATTGCTGTGTAAATGCATTTAAGTCACTTCTGAGCAGCAGTCAGTATAAAGACACCTAAATGCGACTTTACAAGGATTCTGTAGTTTGCAGTGTAATTGAATAATCTGATAAAGAAGCTGGTAAATTACCTTTTCATAATACTTGCTCTCGTAGTCTAGGATGGCAGCATGTGGCTGCTCAGTTTCCTGCCAGGAGAGGGCAATACTAGTTTGAGATGCCCAGTCTTTTCTCACCACGCCTACCAGAGACGGACCTGAAAGGCATAAACAATTAGTTAGTGTTGGTGAAAAGTTTTTCTGAAGCAACCAGGCTTTCCATATGCAATATTGGCCGGAGAGTCACAGTCCTGCAACCCTAATCAAACACACCCGAACAAGCTAATCAATGTCTAAGGGTTACTAGAAAGCTACAGGCAGGTGAGTTTTTATCAAGGTTGGAGCAAAACTCTCCAGAACCGACGCTGGCCACCCTTGGTCTAAGCTTTTCTCCACAGGTCACTTTACTGCCATCTAGTGATGATAAACAGCACATACAAAGCCATTGTCCCAATACACTGGTTCTACAATGGGTCCTTTTACAATATGCTACTTAAAAATAAGCTTTAATATGCTTGGGTGTTTCACATAAAAGCACAATTCATCATTGCTTATGTACCCTCTCCTATTATTCTTTCTTTTTCTAATAGGTTCTTTTTTATCTTCTTTTTACTCTTAATTCTTATATATTATTGCACATAACTATCTCTAGTTGCACGTAAGGATATTTGTATGTTGCTCTGATTTTTAAAAATGTATTTCTTAAATATTTGTTCTAATCTTATTTATTTATTCTGATTCTTAAATCACATATTGATGCAGTTACTTTATGTGGTTTTTCAGCTGAAAAAGAAAGCTTTGGACATCATAACACATGTGCTGGCAAAAGCAATTAAGCTTTGATACTGTGCTTCTGTTTAAGTGAAATATTTTAACACAACTGGTTTTAAAATCTTGAACATCATTGTAATTAGCCAGCTCTGCTTATACTATTTGAAGATAATGCACTCAATCATGGCTCAGTCAGGTGGAAGAACCCAAGAATAATACAAGGAAAATCCATTAAGGTTCTGCATCTGAGACCATTTACAATTAGTACAATTAGTGAAGTCTAAAAGCCTCTCCACTTAAGATGACGGTACGTGCACATGTACACATAAACATGCTCAAACAATCATATACACCACAAAAACTATTTGCTGCTTCTTTCTAATACTGTACACTTCAAGAAACCATTTCACTTTTTCCCCCCCTTTCACCTCAGCGACTGAAGTGCCGCCCACAGGTAGGTGGAGCCGATCTCTAATTGAATCCTGGAGTAGATTAAAGTAGTGGGTGAATGGCATTAGCCTGACTGATTTAATTTCTCCCAGGTAAAATATTCACTCTGGAAGCCCACTGAGACTGCCTGCACGGTAATCACCACCCCTGTCAAAGTAGTCAATCTCTCAATGTTAAAACAGCTGGGAAAATATAAGGGGTGGACAGGGAACGGGAGGCTTTTAAGTATAGCAAGTTGCAGAGAGAGAGAGAGAGGATTTAGGCAGCCGGTAAATAGCAGAGAGCAGCATTCAGTGATGTGCAGTACTGGGCGGCACTGCCTGAGGTCCTCTGGGATATCAGCAAAAGTGATTTGGAGAGAAAATAAGAGAATAAGACATCGGTTTTTGCTAAGGTTACCACCTGTGACACAATCTCTCTCTCTGTCAGTCTTTCTCTGTAACCACAAGGGCTTTATCTAAATGTGTGATGCTGTCCATCTTCCATCTACTATGTCTCTGCAAATTTGCTGTGTGGAGATATATTGGAACGGTGTTTGATGAGACCCCCATGTTGTTTGTCTGACTTGACTCAGCACAGCGGGAGATGCTGCGCATTGAATCTCTCTCATGAGAGGCAGCTCATCTTTTATTGAGAGAGGATGGCCCATGCAGCTCGTGACATCTGACTACTTTAGACGTGCGTGAGGAGGAGACTCACAGGTTTGCACAGAAATATTGAAGAGAGTGACTGTAAAGAACAGGCAGCACCTTAATAAATGATGAAGCCTTATCATGACGCTATTTACAGAGGTAGAGATTTATTTCAGAATGAAACTTTACACAGGAAAGGTGAGGGCAAAAAAGTCTATTTTTTGTGATTCTGTGACTGCCTGACCTTAGCTCGAGTTGTCAGCCGGTGAAAGGGCAGGAGATTGAACTTGGTTGGATAAACAAAGTGATATTATGACTCAAAACAGACCCAGTGAAGGATAGAAGAGAGTCTTAAATCTTTAATGACAAATTGTACAATCAGTCACAATTTATTCTGAAATGCACTACTGTTCAAAAATGTAGGGTCAGTACGATCTTTTATTATTATTATTCTTTTATTTAATACTTTTATTCATTAAGGAAACTTTAAATTGATTAAAAATGACAGTAAAGGCATTTATAATATTACAAAATATTTATATTTTAAATGAATGCTGCTCTTTTGAACATTCTATTCATCAAATAATCCTGAAAAAGAATGTATCAAAGATTCCTTAAAAATATGAAACTATTTTCAACATTTTAATCAACATAATAATCAGAAATGTTTCTTGAGCAGCAAATCAACATATTATAATATAATGTGACACAGAAGACTGGACTAATGGCTGCTGAAAATTAGCATCACATGAATAAATAACATTTCATAAGACATTACAATAGAAATCCAATCTTTTATATTGTAGTATATAAATATATAATAATAATAATAATAATAATAATTATTATTATTACCATTATTATTTATCAAATAAATGCAGCCTTGGTGAGAATAAGAGAATTTACATTAAATATAGTAATATATCTAAATATATTGTATGCTCCAAAATGTATGTATTACTGTAATGTATGTACTGTACAAAAAAAGTGAAACAGATGTTGATTCAGTAACTGTTCTAAAGAATTCATTTCAGGAAATAATTCATCAGACTGATTTAATCTGATTGATTGTTTTTGTAAGCAATTCCAAAAGACAAATATGTTGTAGTACATCTTGTTTTTCAACATAACCACATTCAGTTTACGTAATTCAGCTTAATTTTTTGGTTATTTTGTTACTTTTTATTGAAAAACAGTAAATGAAACTAGAGTTCAATATGTTGGCAACTTTCACGCTTACTGATAGGCCATGATTCTGAAGTACTCAGAAAGCTATGATGACGTTTCTAACAAAAACAAGAGCATTTCCTCATAACACATTGCACACAGAATTGTTCATCCGCCTGTGCAGTATGCTGAATTGTCATAACAAGCCTTAGTTGGTAATTAGCCTAAAGCACCAACGATCACGCAAGAAGAAACTGAAAGGAGAAACTGCTAACACAAACACATCCAAACATATACATTAAAAAAGAAGAAAAAAAAAATGAGGTGCTTATTGTACAGTCATTATGCGGAGCTGACCTGCATTTTTATTTTAATTAGCTGTCCTGCTCCGCTTAAGGGGATCTTCCATTGACTCTCATCCCACATCATTCCAGACTCTTTATGGAGGCTGCACAATGTCTAAGTGATGAGTTTCCCACATAATCAGCAATCATACCACACTAGTCAAGCAATCAGCAATCCAGATTAAGTATAATTGGATGTTGCTTGTTTTTGCAGGGTGTTCTTTTTTTTTTTTGTTTACATTGCATTCTCTCGTAGAGAGTTTACCAAAAATGACTCTCAGAGGAAATGTGGCACACTTTAATAAAAAGGGCACATAAAAAATGCACATGCACATGCTTGTGATCACACATAGTGAACACGCAAAACAAGTTCTTGTTTTATCATTGTGGCTCTGGAGGGGGCATGCAAACGTAAACTGTCCTTGCATCTACATTTCAAAAGATTTCTTACATTCATGAGAGGAAGAGAGGGAAAAAGAGAGCTCCTTTAATGCACACTTTCCTTCTATTTCCCATTGCTTGACAGATTTCACTCCCCCCCCTCGCCCCGTCCTAGAATTATATACAAGATTAAAAAGAAATGCTTCCCTATAGCTCCTATAATCCTCTCCTCTAAGTGTATCTCATCCTGTTACAATAAGTGAACACACTCTTCTGAGAGTGCTGAACCTGAGCACACCACAGCTATGCATTAGAAATGTGTAGGTGAAGCTGTGGCATAGCGGTTAGCACAAATCGGAGATGTAGGTTTAAATCCAATTAATTAATTGAATCCAGCAATTTATAATACATACATATAGAATAAAAATGGAACAAATTAATCATGCACAATGATCCATATATAAATTCCATAATAAGAAATTTTACTACCATCAGAGCAATTAAAGCTTAAAGCAGCCTATTACCTTAATGTGCACAGTCAGCGGACCACCTCACACAACCACTTTTACTGAGAGCATTTTGGGGTTATATACACACACAATAGAGAAAGCAGTTTCTCACTGGAGAAAGCAATGTTATGGAGAGGGGACTTGTATTTAAATAGGAAGCAATGGTTTGAAGTTAAAAACCTCAATGATGGTTTCTTATATGCAGCTTTTTTTACTTCACAAGACATTCATGGATGGAGTCGTGTGGATTACTTGTAGATTATTGTGATGTTTTAATCAGCTGTTTGGACTTCCATTCTGACGGCACCCATTCACTGCAGAGGATCCATTGGTGAGCAAGAGATGTAATGAATTTCTCCAAACCTGTTCCGATTAAGAAACAAACTTATAAAGACCTTGGATGAGGGTGAGTATATTGTCAGCGGATTTTAATAAAGTTTTACAGTGTAAGACAAAATGTACACATGTTGACCGTGTGCTTTGTGTTTAAAACAGCTGTTTGATCTGTCTGGCAGTGAATGAGTTTACCAGGTGCTCTGAGAGAGGGAAGATCCAACACAGAGTTTGACAAGGCCACGTATGATTTGTTCTCAGCAATGAAAACAACTCCAATTCAGATTCAGAGATGAATAATGAGAGACAATCAAGTATTTGTCTAAACACACTCAAAAATCATCCACCCCCGATACACATGCGAGTCTCTCAGAGGTTCACAAACAGCAGCAATTAACTGGAGAATGAAGCAGCTGCAGTAAATATGCAGTCGATACGGCAGAACTCAGGATGAGTGCAGACCGATACATGTAATTACAAATACACGTGAGATGTGCACACACTTATTCTTTCTTTTATGACTGTGTGTATGGATGCATGGGTCGTTATATGTTTATTGAGTGTGTAAGGG